GGTTACCAAGTGGAGTTAGTAATAATATTTTGGATCTACGGAAGATTGATCAGCGCATAGACAGATTAGAGTACAATGGAGTCATGGAGCTGGTGTTTGATGTTCAATTTATGTTGAAGGGTGCTATGCAGTATCATGGGTTCTCGTATGAGGTATGATTTTAATTGTTTAGTTTTGCCTCTATTTGGACAAAGCTGCTTTGTTATCTTTTGAGACTTATTGATGAGATCTAAATGAACTATGTAAAGCTTAATCTCCTTTTGCGTGCATAATTAATCTCCTAGTCTTTGTTCATACATATATTTATATACTTTTTATGAGTTAAAGAACCTCAGGAGATGGAGTTTTGAACTTTTGACCAGCTCAACCAATGCTCAAGTTGGGTACATATATTTTATATTTTAATGTTATCTTCTTAATAATAATAGGAACGAATACTAGAAAGTGGGTTTGTGGTTTTTTCTAATTTAGTTTTTGTTGGGTTTGTAAGTAGTACAAATAAAGTCCCACATTGGTTAGGGAAGAGGATGATTATAGATATATAAGAGGACAATTATCTCCATTGAGGCCTTTTAGGTGAAAGCCGTGAGAGTTATACCTAAAGCGGACAATATCATACCATTGTGGAGAACCTACATTAGGGTACATGGGTACCGTTGTTCTCAACTGGAGTTTCCTTTTTGACCTGAATTAATGTCATCCTTGCCTATTAATGGCTTCTGACCAACTTTTTTCAAAGTTTTCGAGCTTGGTGGTATGCTATTTGTGTTTTGTAATCACCATTCACTAAAACAAATAGGATAAGATGTGCTACTTTATCAAGCCTTTTGACCGTAATATCATGATTTTTTTTCTTTTTGAATAAGAAACGATTCATTGAAAAAGAACAGCCTTCGGCCGCTTCCCAAAAAAGTAACATAGAAAAGCTCTTCAATCTTGCAAAATCAAAGAAAGACGGTAGTTACAAAAGAATTTTGTATTCCTAAGACACCACCAAGCTAAAACATGAACACTATTACAAAAAGAATCCCAGGACTAGAAAATTCATGATCAATGTTACAAAGACTAGAAAATTCCACTGTATGGCCTTGACATAAGTTTATCCTTGATCTCATTTTGGCACTGATCTCATTCTTGTGCTGTTTTTAGGTGAACTGTTTTGTTTGATTTGCCATTAAGTTGTACCTCCATCCAGTCAACTTCATTTATATCAATAGAAAAGAAACTTTGATGAGTTAAATTTACACCAAAACAGTGTGTTCTGTATGTTTTAGCCAGATGTACGTTGGTATTAGATAGAATTCTTTCATCAAAACTTGAGCAGTATCTTTTTGCATGGGTTTATATGTCTCTGCATTGTCTCAGTTTTTTTTTAATTCTCCTCTTAAGTAAAATTTGAAACTTTTTGCCCCTTGGATCTGCAGGTAAGATGTGAGGCCAGAAAAGTACACGACTTATTCTTTGATATTCTGAAGATTGCATTTCCAGACACAGATTTCCGTGAAGCCAGAAATGCTTTGTCTTTCTCTAGCCCGGGCCCTTCTGCTGCCGCTACTTTGAGGGAGAGACCTGTTAGCCAAACCAGAAGACATAAGATGATCAATGATATGGACACCGACTCATGCCTGCCACAGAAATCACTGCAGCGTGGACCAATGTCCTCTGGGGAGGAAACAAGGACAACCAGAGGTCACTTGGCCCAGAAGGAATCAAGGTTTGGGAGTGGAAGTGGAAGTGGAAGTAAGGATCAATACCAGATAGAAGAGCCCCCACTTCTGACTCATCCTGGGGAGCTGGTTATCTGCAAGAAGAAAAGAAAAGACAGGGAAAAAACAGTAGTGAAGCCAAGGATGGGATCTGGTGGCCCAGTCTCGCCACCTAGTGTTGCTCGCGGCATTAGAAGTCCAGGCCCAGTTTTGAAAGACGGCAGACCATCTCATTCTCAAGGATGGCCAAGCCAGCCTGCACAATCTGCAAATGGCGGAGGCGGACCTGTTAGTTGGGCAAATCCTGTAAAGAGACTAAGAACGGATTCTGGAAAGAGGAGGCCCAGCCATATCTGACTCCATAGGTTAGTATATGAAATAGAGATTTAATATCGAGCTGAAGCGATGAGGATATCGGTGACCCTATCGTTTTGTAAAGGTGCAGATAGCTCGTTGTGTTAATAGTGTAGGTCTTTGTTCTTCAATGCATGATATATAGATCCTTCCATGTTTTATATTATTTGAAATACATCTTTACATGTTATAGTTAGATCTCTGTACTCCATGACTACATCCTTCAAAGTTACCTGTTGTATTCAATTATGCCGATTGATAGCAACTCTGTTTCTTTTGCCCAAATATTGAGGGGGGAAAAATAGTTGTATTGGCAATACATAGCTTCTGGTCCTGTAGTTTGGAGTTAGATTTTATCTTCTCTATAGTTCTTCTATAGATTAAATGAATATGTATTCTTAGTTGAAATGCTTACTGAGTTCAATGTAGAGAATTGTCTGATGAGAATGAAGGCACCAAAGAAAGAAATGGTGAAGGATTGATTATTTTTGTTTTAGGATTTGAGTAGGGAAGGGTATTTAAGTCTTTAGCTAATTTTGTTTGCATAAGAGTTTCTCATTCACAATAAACAAAGGAATTGAATTGAAGGAATGAGAAGATTGAAATTTATAGGTCTTTTCTTTGTTGTGTATGCTGTTATTGATTCTCAAATGGGTTTTGTAGGATTAAGGTGAGCATAAAGGAGGCAAAATGTAAGGTTTGTTCAATGAACTATACTTGCTTCTAAGATAAGATTAAAGATTATGGCCAGTGATTTTAGAGCTGAAGCCAAAGGTAAAGTTTGAAATTTTTTACAACTACATGGAACATGAATATTGGATAATTACGTCGATGGATGAACTTAATAGTCGTGTACTAATATTGTAAAGAAGAGGTTGAAACCACTCAAATTTTATTTGTATAAACTTTGAATCTTTTTTTTTCCCTCTTTTCCCATGACTTTTGGGTAAAAACATTACATGTTCTTTGTGCAAAAGCAATTTAAGGTTATTTTAGTCTTTTTTGGTGGATGGGTTTGAGGGGGTTTTTTTTTCTCTCTTGAGTGTTATATTTGCAAATCTAGAATCTTGTTTTATTTGTAATTAATTGTGTTTGTTTTGCCATATACAAACTCTCCTAACTTAATTGTATAAAAATGCCATATTGAGAATAGTGGTGAGAAAGATATCAATGTGAAATAAACCATTTTTGTGAACTATTCATAGGTGCATTTTCACACTTCCAAAATTATTTGATAATGAAATCTTAACAACCAAAGAGGAAAAAAATCCAAACTTGTCAAGAAACAATCAATGTAAAATTGTAATAAAAATTTTTAGATTAGAAAATTGAAGAGTTACTTTCATTGGTCCATGAAAATCTACATAAAACTCTTGCATCTAATCACATCATTAACCATCTCTATCTTGTAATAGAATGAATAAAACAAGAACTCAATATAATGTAATAAAATTAGTGTTAAATAAATAATAATAATTTCCTCTATTCTATTTATTTGCATTTAGTTGAACTAGATATAGTTTATCTTTGCAAGTTTTTAATTTAATTTATTATTATTATTTTTTTACTTCTGTTTGAATAGTTATAGATATTGAGATAGAAGTTTACTTTGAATTTAGTTTTTTCTATAACACTTGAAATGAAATGTCATGTATTTGTCTGATCGGGCGACAAATCATTTTTTTACTGCATATAGTTGGCTAAAGGAAATGAAACAAGAAGAGTGTTGGAGTTGAGAGTGTTAATCTCACTAAGTGGGGAGTTGAGAGGCTGTTAACCTCACCAAGTGGCTGGAGGCTCAAAGGTTAGCCCAAGCCTAACCTGCACTAGATCCAAGTTCAACGCAAAGTTAATATTTGATCATACAAATTCAACTTAGATCATTCATAAATTGGAATGAATATGCATTACACTTTTTGAACGTCACAAATCTATTTGAGCCATATTTGATTGGAACTAGTCCAGTGAACTTATAATTAGGCTAATTCAAATACACGAAGGTTGAAAAAATATATTATTTATTTTATATCAATCATATATATACTCCAATTTTTGGTTTTTTCAAAAGATAGAGGAAAAGATGTATATAAGTCGTACATGCTTTAAATGTCAGTATCAAATCTCTCTAGCTGAGCTTCACTGTAAACTCCTCGACTAAGAGATTGCATAGTAAAAATCGACACAAGAAATTTTATTTTCATATAATGTTTGACACATTGAACAAAAATAACGAGAATATGAGAAAAAAAAAATCAAGTTGTAAAATAAACCAAAGTTAATATTTTATCCGACAAATCCATTTGTTTTCCTAGTCACATCCATTTGGCCTTTTAAGCAATAAAAAAATTAAGCGAATCAAAATTCTGTTCTCTGTARGTTTAAACTTAAACCTCTTTTAGGAAAAATATTGAGCGAGATCACAAAAATTTTGGTAAAATAAATTAATCAGATTGCTTTGTTTGAAAGAACTGCTTGTGTAACAGAAAAACACGAGCATTAAGAAGTGTCGAAAATGACTACGAAAAATGGATTTCATGATGTTTTTTAACAGTCACGAAATCTTTTTTGTCATGACATTTTTTAAACGTCACAAAATCCACTTTTAACTGTCACAAAATCTTTTTTTATAATGTTTTATAACCGCCACGAAAACATCCATTTTTCATGACGTTTTTAAACCTTCACGAATCGTACTTTTCATGACATTTAAAATAAACGTTATGGGACATGGGTAACGTTAAAAGATGGCGTCGTAAGTTTTCACTCTACCTTTCGTGGTGGACGGGCATAGCTAACGTTGTAAAAAAAAGTCACGAAAACCTGGATTTCCAGTAATGAATTACAGTTAACAAAATCTCGAGAAATCTGCAGAAGGGTTCGAAAACAATAAATATTTTTCGACATATTTTACAGAGCTTAAGTTTATTATTTTAACATGTGTGAAGCAAAGTGAAATTGGTATAACAAAGTCTTCCTTAACAGAACCATAGAGCATATGGTGATTACAAAATAAAAAGAGCATCAAATATTTATGTACAATGGCAGAAGAAAGTATTCATGGGGATAATTTACCCTTTTGATAAGTCTATAATTCAGGAGTTGGAATAGAATCAACAGAAACACAGACATTTTTGTACAGTGAAAGACACTTAAAATGAGCCCTCAGGGATCTGCTTTCCCGGCCACTTCCTCGTCACACGAGTCAGATTCATCTTCGCTAAGTTCTTCGTCGCTTGATTTGTCTGGTGCAGCTATTATGTCTTCTGGTTTCGCATACCTTTCGCAGTATTCTGTAAGACGCGAAACGAGAAAATTGCTATAATGGTCATATTCGACGAAATTCACAAGACAAAGGAGCAAACCCGAAAGTATAATCACAAATAACGTTTATGATCCTCAAGAAATGACAACCAAGGAATCAAAAAAACGAATGACTGCAAAAAGGCGTTTCCCCTTAAACCGACTCTTACTCTTTTGTACGAGTAATCGAAGCTCAACTATCTTAACTAATATCACATATCAAAATCAAAAATATTTTTAGTAGATAAAGACCAATCGATTCACATGTGCTATCTCCAATATACAAGTTGCAACTAGAATGTAGATGACATTTATGAAACCAATCAGATCATGGAACAAAAGCCTGAAAATTTCAAATACAGAGACTTCATCCCATTCTAGCTTAGGTGTTGGAGGAACTCATAAACTGAAAAACTACAAAAGTTATGCCACCGTTCACACTATTCTAGGATTAATGCTATCATGCTGCCACTGTCCATGTACACTACTGCTCGCCCGAAGCGGTAGACTAGTAGCAGTTCCATAAACATAGCAAACACCGTCTTGATATCGTCATCAAAACACCAGCCTTCATCTCAAAATCGAGTAGGATTGAATAAATATCACAATAAAAGAAAGGGTATGTGGTAGTGTATTTGGTTAGAAAGGAATAGGAGGCATTCCGAGTTGTCGGTAGAGAGGCGGATGAAAGGAACTATTCTTCTTTTTGTAACCTCATCTCGGATCTCGGGATGGGAGGGAGGGACCATTGCCATTCTCCTTCCCTCCTTCCTAATTGTTTCTCTTTCAATAAAGATTTATTGTACAAAAGGAAAGGCCAAAGACTACAATGCTATGCAATGTCCTCTTGGGGGAAGGATAATCTTTTACCTTTCACTCTCTTCTCAAGTATTCAAATAATCATGAAACTACAATGTTTACTATTGAGGAAAGTATCCCATGAAAATAACGGTCGAGCACTGCTTGACAGTAGTCACGAGCCTAGGCGATAAGTCTAGCACGGGCTGCTCGATAGGATAGAAGGACGAGGATCATAGATTTAAGCATCCTATCCCAAAATATAAGTGGACACAATACAGTAGGATAATCTAGTAGTTTTCAACTTAATCATCAGCAGACGTGGGAGTATTTTCCCTTCATTTTCTGCATTCATTTCATATTTTTGTCCTGGAAACCCAACTTCATAAGAACATGTCAGAAATTCTACAAATTTACAAAATAGCATTTTCATAGAAAACAACTAAATTGATTCAAATATTTTTTGTTTCTAAAAGATATTATATCAGCCCCAGGGGTGGCTCCGTTGGCAAAGGCTTGCAGTCTTGGAGCGATACCTATTTAAAGGTCACGTGTGAGAACATTTGAGTGATCTTAATAAGGAAAAACTCTTTATGTCTCTGGTCTGGACCTTGGAGCAGGCATCAGTACCTCTCAAATTAGTGTGGCTAGAACCCCCGATACCGAGTTATCAATCATGCAAACATCAAGACAATCATTTGTAAAGCTAGTTTTCAATAGAATCTTGAGAAAACCAATACCTTTTACTCTTTGTTCATAAGCAACTCGATCACGCATCATCAAGGCTGCAGCCTCTCCATTCAAAGGATCTGATGGATTGGGATACAAAAGGAGTTGTGGTAGGAACACTTCAAAAACATTTACCAGATCTGAAAGTACAGCATATAAGATGCACCATTAGTCTGAAAAATATGGGATGAAGATAACTAAATAACGAACGAAAAAACATTGCCTACCGAACATGGGGCTCCAAGTTTGATTGATAACGTCTAAACAAACCGAACCCGACCTGAAATGAAAACCAATTAGGAAACCATTACAATCAGAGCATACAACATACTTCATTTAAGTTAAGAACACATATTGAACTCACATCTCATCAACATTGGGGTGGTAAATTTTGTTAATAAATCCTATCGAAGGAGATTTATACGGGTAAGCGTCTGGGAGTTCTACTCTTATCCTCCACACACCTCCATGATAAGGACCTGCCAGAAACCCATCACATTGTGACTTTTCTTTATCCATTTCCTTCTGTTCTCCAAGAACATGGGAGAGTTAGGGAGAGAAAATGAGCAGACAAATAATCTGTTAATGCCATGAAGACACAGATTCACAAGAAGAAACAAGAGGGATTCTCACATTATTCAGATCAGAATCAGCTTAAAGCAACTAAACAGGGAAAATATATTCAGAAATAACTGCATATGTTCAAAAGTAAGTGAAACAATACTCAGAAATGAAATGAAGAGGCCATATAATTGGTCATTTTGGGTTGAAAACAGGCAGATCAAATCCAGAGTTAGAACAATACAGCAGAGATCCAAACTTAAAAACAAGCAAAGAAAACAAAGTAGATTAGAAAATTTGAAGAGTTACTTTCACTAGGTCCATGGAAATCTACATAGAACTCATGCATCCCATCATTAACCATCTCCACCTTGTAATCACTCATCATCCTGCCCAGAAATCCATCCATCAAACAAAAGATTTTGAGAAACAAGTAAAGAAAACCAACACCCAAAACCAAAAACAAATCAGTGAAACAATTCAATGAATAGGTTTCTAGAAAATTAACAGTTTCATCAAGTCCATCTCTCGGCGTTTGCTTGGAGAAGACATGGTTTCTCTGTGCAAGCTTTGATGGGTCGATTCGAAAACAGAGAAATCGAAGCTCGCTTTGAAGTTTGAGCTAAAAGGGTTCGGACATCAAGCAGAGAAACAAGGAGAAAACGAGAGAAGAGAGAGAGAGAGAGAGAGAGAGAGAGAATTTTCAATTAGGTGCCCCTGTGACTGTGATTGCTCAATATTATCGAACAATTTGATGTGTACTTGGAAGATTCTTCCTCCTTATACCCACTCCAATCCAAGGCACAGGGCAGGCTCCTTTGAAATTTTCACTTCCTTCAAGATTCTTCTTCCTCCTTAATTTGGTATTTATCTTCATAAGGATTCGATCTGCGTTCTATAAACTATATTCTGAAAATTATTGAATCTTTCTTTTAAAAATTTTGTAACTTTTGTCGTGAAGTTGCGCAGATAAGATTAATTAAATACATCAATAAATGATTTCTACTCCTCTCAAAAACATCATATTCTGCTGATGTCTTGGATTGTTGGATGATTGGATTATCTATATTCTCTTAAAAAAAAGATATTATATATATATTTTGTTAAAGCACCTTTTGTAAAGATGGTTCTAATTAAATATTTGTGAATTTAGTTTGTGAATTTAATCATTATATATATATATATGAAAGGAAAAAGAAAAATCTTAATTCTTACCGTCTGAGATAAAGTACTCTCTCTTATCTTATCTCACAACTTGAAATTAAGGTATAAGATCAAAATATCCTTAAAAAGACAGCAGTAAATCAAACAAGAAAAACAACCATACAAATCAAGGTCAAACAAGAGCATCAAAACTACAAAACTGGAAAAGAAAAATAACTCCCAAACAGATTCCATCCAAGTTTAACCTCTAGAATGAATACTATCTAGCTAAATCAACTTACGAGCATAAACATCATTCTGAACAAAATGTAAGATAACCAAAGTCGAGTGATACCACCATAGATTTTGAAACCAAGTTCTCTCCAAATATGAAATACAGATGCAATCCATAGGTGATCGACCTCCAACTTTGAACCCATTGACAAATTTGATGCGAAGAGTTTTTCAAGTAATCATAACACCCTAGAGTGATTAGTTATTAATCAACTTTAAAGTATTAACTTTAGAGTGATTCTGTAAAGAAAATAATTTTAAAGTAATTTGATTACTTCAAAGGTGTTTTTATTTGTTAAAAAATTTTTACTCTCCAAAATTACTTAGGGAGTTAACCCAAATATTTTGTACCATTTTACCAATATATATATATATACTTTAACATCGTAAAACTTTTAATGCATACCGAAAAGTATATAGGAGAATATATATTAAAAAAATTAAAATAAGAGATTTGATTACAATCGTATCTAACTTTTTTATGTTATTTTTTTCTTTTCTTTTACGTTTATAAATTCGATCCTCTCATTTTTCATAAAGGAAAAATCGAATTGTCAAATATTGATACCTTTTTTTTTTTTCAATCAAATGTGTGGGAGAAATTTTCAAAGTGGTTGGTAAAGCATTAAACTTTTTCTTTTCAAGCAGTAAGATTGATTTTTCTGCTAAATTGATTCCACTAAATTTACTCTTTATAAAATTGATACAATCTTATCTAACTTTTGTAATGTTCATGATTGAGTCAGCTCAAAAAGTCTTCATTTACAAGTACATTAAACCAAATCAATGGTGTTGAATAAATCTTAACCAAATGAAATAATGACTCAAATTCCATTTTTTTTTAATTTTAGAAAATAATATGTTGAGGGCCCATTTGATAAATAGGAATAAATAGTGGAGGAATGGACTTTTTAAAACATGTTGCTTTTGGGCATTCACATCATCCAACCCACCAAAAATAATTAAAATAAGAAACAATCACTTCATTTAATCTCTGTAATTTTAATTATTCAGCATAATTAAATTAAATTAATAAAAATAATTTTAAGAATATTTAAATATTATTTTAGTCATATACTTACAACTTTCATTCATTTTGGTACTTGTATTTTCAAGTTCTATCCATTTGGCCCCTTCATTTTATTTGTTTTTTTTCGTCATTACAATATCACACTCAATAAATTTCTTGATATAGATCCATAAATTTGTATTCGTGGGATGTGGCCAAAATAAATAAAAATTGAAAGTATAGAATCAAAATAAACATTTCGAAAGTACGTAGATCAAAATGAATCAAAAGACCAAATAGTATCTGAACCTCTTAAGAATCTAAATCCTATTCGTTACCGTCATCCTATTTTCAAGCTTCACATTCTCATCCTCACATACCAAATGTCGTCCTTCGAAGATCTTCTCGAAGAAGGCTCCATCGGTAGGTGAAAATGAGGGTACTGCTACAGATGCTTCTGGCTGAAAGCTCAGTTTAGAGCATCGAATTCCTGAAGATTTCTAGAAAGAAACTAAAAATCCAGATGTTCAAAAGAAATTGAATGGACGGCTGAGATCTTATGGCCTACTTTGAAATGCAAAACTATAGCATCCCAGATGAAGGAATCAAAGCAAAAACAATAACTTATAAATTGAAAATAAAATATGTAGAGAGAGAGATGCTTTTTCTGTATACCTTTGGCTGGACGGCAAGAAAATGGTATAATTCTTTGCAGAAATCATACACAATGACCCACTAGGAAATGCAAAAGCTTTTTCTGTACATTACGTAAACAATGCTCTCATTGATGTGATGATCCATAAAAAGGTGAGTGCCAAATAATCTATGAAAACTTTTCAACTCTTTTAGTGGCCAACAGATTTCAGAGTCAGAAAACCACTCCAATTGTGGACTAATATTGTGCCCATTTCTAACATCCAAATCTTTAGAATTTTTGGAAGCTCAGCCTAAAATTTCCAAAATTAAATGTGGTTCATCTTCATATATAGTTCAGAAAAACGTGTAAAAATGAGAAAATGAACCTGAGAAAGAAGAATGGTTGGGTGAAAACGAGAGGATTCCAATTTGAGACTACCTATAAAGAATAACAATACTTCCTCGCTAACTGGGCAACAGGAATTTCAAGTCCGGAGTGTAGAGGAGAGATTTTTCTTTTTTTCTTTCGAGAAATAAATACCAGTAAAAAATTTAGTGACGGCCAGCAGGAAAGTACGGCTGAAGTTGACTACTTCTACCAATAATGGTATAAAGGATGGGACGTTACATGCAACCTCCACATTTAGTTTTGTTCCAAAACCCTGGAAAGAAAGCAAGTGGGTAATATAAACACATATAATCTAATGAGATTGAAGAGAGTTAAGAAAAGCCAGCTAGAATTCTGAGTTACAGTTTTAGTGAATAATATTTCTATAGTTAAAATACTATGAATTTTCAAAAGTGTTTGTTTTAGTCCTAAAAAGTGACCAACTTGGTCCTTTAATTTTATTTTTAATCTCTTTTTTTCTATCACCAAAGATTTGGATGTTCTTCAGCCACTACGAGGGTCGTATATCGTCAGCAGCATAAAAGGATTCGGAGGTTAGGAATGGTAAAATCAACAAGGTAAAATAAAAGGGTAAAAGACGTAAAGTTTCTTCATTTAGGAGTGTTGCCATGGTTTGTGTATTCATGCATACAAACTGGTAGTAGTCCGTGGACTGACAAATAAATGTGTAAAACAATATGACAAACCTAAAGACAGAAAATGGTTCTTACCAAAAAATGAACACGAGTAGTGATGTTGCCTCTGGGCTGAAGGAGATGTATGAAACCAAAAATCATGTCGAAGGTCCCAGAACTAAGGCTCTTCAATATCACTTCACAAATATACTGTTACCATGTACTATGTAACTGTATTTTTTTCACTGATCAACTTCAACTGAACAAATGTGTACACGAAACCAAGAAAAACAAAGCAAAAAAAAAAAAAAAAATTCTCCTACTGATTTTCCATCTCGACAAAATGATGGGTTTCCAAAAAAGGTTTTCACTGACTACTTAAACTCCAATTCGTCATCACTGCAAATGTTATCTGGGGTGAATCTATTCTGAAATCCTCTACGATGCAATAAGAAGACATTAAAGTAGTAGCATACCATATCTTCTCTGCTTTTAGAAGGGAAAAACTTGGAAATCCAAGTCCGAAAAGACTTCTTAAGAGATACCGGACTAGACCGAATAGCATCCTTAAACTTATGCTCCTCTTTCTCTGTCCAACAGAGTCTTACTTCTTCCCCCATCCTATCAAATTTCCATTCATAGAATGCAGAGCCTATTTCCAACTTCAATTTGTATCTTTTCTTTAAAATATGATATTGAGTGCATTTAGTGGAACCACGCACCTGGCATTTACACGAATCTTGCCTCCCTTCCCCAATGAGATCGTGTTCAATGAGAAACGCTCGGTTCACTTTATCCGAAGGCCAAACGAGGGTCCCCAACCACTTAGAGTCACTTTCAGACGTTGTACCACTCCATTCTGCTACTTCCACTTGAAACTTTGGCCCTACCGGTATGTGCTTTGAGGCAGATTTTCCCATGTAATCTGGCATCCAGGTATTAGTTGTTACAAGAATCTCATGGTCTAGTTGGTCTTCCATCGCCGCTAGAAGACTTCGACCACTACTCATCCCAGAAGGAAGTATTTTTCTGGACTTCACCTTCTTTCTTAGATTGTAACTGGAGCCTTGATGATCATTGAACATGTATGGATTTATATTCTGACATTATTACAAAGGGAACACATAATAACATTATCATGCATTAGCTAAACACTAAAGAGATCAGTTACCTGAATACAAGTTTTCCATTTTTAAGCAGTATTTGAAAAACTTAGCAATGTGAATCATATCGTCATACTGAAAGCATGCCAAATGCTGAATTGCAGCAAAACGTATTCTCATTCATTGCAAAGCCACTACCTAATATAACTTTTCTTCTTGTTCACCATATTTCAATTTCATTAGCTTGCATATTTCTGGCCACATATAGAACCATTAATTGCAATCAAATAGGAACAACCAGAGAAAGTGATGGTATTGTTGACAAGATTGTCCATAAAAGCTAAACAAACAAAAAACAAGAACTAGAAGTGATGAAATGAATCATGATGATATCATATGCATACATTTTCATTTAACAATCCAGAAAACATAAGTAGGCACTAACTGAATGTGCTAAAAAGTTACTATAAAAACATGAAGACAGAAACGGTGCTATCATCCTGAAAAACTAAACAATTGGGTGTTAGTGTGTTACACAGCCATTTTTCATATGTATAAAAGTAATCAAGTGCTTGTAGAGCTGCATTAGACATAGCCCACGAGTACGGTAGTGTACAACACTATAAGTGCAGCACATTATTATCTCGTCTACAAAATGGTTTCAGACTGAATGTTGATTATTAGTAGGATGGAATAATATTCTCGTAAATGATTTTTGCACTTGTAGAACAAGTTTTCGTAGAAATATACCTGCAGAATAGACCGTCCCGCAAAAGAATTAGAATGTCTTTTCAGTAACATTGCCTCTCGAATCAGCAGAACTTGCTTCCAGATCTCTTCATTTCCACGTGACTTCCACTTTGATCTTTCAGGTAATGACCCGATAACAGGGTAAGATGGATTCTTTGCAATTTCAGTGATCCACCTTACCATTCCTAACAGGGATTCACACTTTCTCTCGTGGCTAAGATTCTGTTCCTCAATAGAGGTGGAATCTAAAATCACTCCTCCCTCATTATCAGGATCATCACCATCGCACTTTCCACCGCCATGAGAGAACTCCACATTGCTTTCTACTACCCCGTCTGCTGATACATTTTCATGCTTCCGAATACTTGGCATTAGAATGTCGTTCACGTTGGATGATAATTCGGGGCTTGTGTCTTCATCTTCGTACAAGTCATCTGTGTCAGGAATGTCTAAGTCGCTCTTATTTAATTGGCAAAAAGTTTCCCCGCAACCATAAATATCATTGTCCCTGTCAGTCTTCAGAATCACAACTGTATCATCACAGTCTAAAAAGTTTGACTCCTGCAACAATTTTGTATCTTCATGCAAATCATCATTCTTCTTCAAATACTGAATATCTGATGACAAACCATTGAACTCAAAACCCGTACCATCTCCCTTACTGCTGCAACTACTTGAGGATTCTTTATCCTCAACAACCTTTTCAAGCCATCTCTCTAAAATATTCAAACACTCGACGTATAGCACTTTCACAGTAGAGGGAATAATCGAACCTAAACCAGAATCTTCTGCTACCAGATCCCACAAATCATTCCTCGATACAGCATCATAACCACCCTTATCTCGTACAGCAACAAATAGCTTAAGCAAATCGAAAGTTTGCTCGACTGCAGTCATTTTAGTTCAATGTCCTGGGACCAAATTGCCTTGGGCCGAGTTTCAGGACACATATCAAACTAAACATCAACACTAGAGTTTATCTGAGCGATACACAGAAAACATGCTTATCCATTGTTAACTTATTATAAGCCATTAACGCCATAGATTCAAACCGTTGCAGAGCCATTAACCATCATCCACCATCACGCCATGGATTGATGATTCGAAATCCTAATAACAAATATAGAATTTTATTTTCTCTAACCCGTGACAGTAGAAGGATAGAGAAAGAAAACTCAAATAAATACACAATGCAGCAAAAAGACAACGAGAAAGAAGATTGCCTGACGAAAAATAAAATTATATATCTACCGGTCAACTTTCGGATGATCAAACTTTTGGCGGGAACAGATTAATAATGAGATTAAGAACTTCCGACTCCGAAGGCAGAACAAAATCTCTCCCGCGAACCGTCTCTCCAATTATTAGTAGAAAATCATTCGACTCGCTGCAGATTGATTAATTTTGCACGTCTTGAACAGGCACAAACGATTGTACCTATTATGCTGAGAGAGAATTTTGTAGCTATCTTGCTTCGTAAATTGTATTTGTAAGATGAGTTCCAAATATCGACGGCGTCTGTACCTATTATGCTGAGAGAGAATTTTTTGCTTCGTAAATTGTATTTGTAAGATGAGTTCCAAATATCGACGGCGTTGGTCGGAATCTCCGGCGACCTTCTTTGGACCTTTGTCCGGCCGCTCCCGCCGCCGCCACTGAAGATGGATGTGTGAAGGGAGAAAAGGAGACCGTATTTGAACAGAAAAAGAATGTTATTTTGTATTAAATAGAATGGTTAAATGCATAATTGAATCCCTAAGTCTTAGGGCATTTTTCTAAGCTTTTAAAAATTTTCCGCTTCATCTTTCTTTTATATATATTTATATTTTCCTTTTATTTATTATTATTTTTTTAATCAGGTCTTTGGCTCTTTCCTATCACAGAATTAAAGTTAAAATTCATTAATAAAATAATTGTGCTATGTCGAAGTATATTTAATTAATTAATTAAATAATTTGTCAAAAGTTTTGATGAAATAAATATTTACCCATTGGGGACGCCGTCTTAAGGCTTGCGCCAACGAGTCGAAAGTGTAAATTTGTCAACTTTAACATATCAACCATTTAAAGCATATATCTTCCATAAAAAACATTGGAAATCCGATTTATTCCTAAATATTGTCAAACTCAAAAGAAAAAATATAAAATAAAAATACTCATTAAATTTATATTTTATATGTATTCTAAATTCCCAACCTTTGTATAAACTCGGTGACGCATCTAAAGAGATACAAAACTATAATCAATGGTGGTTACATATCAAATACACATCTTTTGAACGACCATGTACCAGAACTATAATATTTCAAAAATATATATACATATACATAACCAAGAATTAAAAAACATGGTCGAAAACGAGCAATGTAAATGGTGGTTAGTGTCCAAATCTTTGCCTGATGCGATCCCTTCATCTCTGTCTTTCAAAGTGAAGCTAGATACTTCATCTCTAATGCACCGAAAGAAGTTGGCTTTCTGAGCTCATATGGATGTCCAGGCATAGAAGCCATTAATAAGAATAATCTAACTCACGTGCTGGCTTGTCTGTACTGAGCACCATTAAATCTTCGACAGGTAAGAAAAAGAATGCATAAAAGGACAAGACACTTATTCCTTTATCACGTCATATCAGAATTTATGTCTTTTCCTATCCATTTTTTCATTCTCTCAGATGCTTGTTTTACCTGAAGAATACCAAGGGCAGACATGCGATGAAATCCCATATCAACTAAAAGTAAGAAGATCATGCACAATTAATGTGAATGTGTATTACCTCTTTATCCCAATTGGTTCGATAGACGATAAACAAGAGGAACACTGTCTGCAAAGAGGTCCCAGAAATCATACCGATCCAAATTCCCTGAAGTAATAATGTGAATCAGTATACAAATGAATAGAATTAGATCATATATTGCACCTCGACTAATCTCACAGGATAACTGACTCTATTACATTTGGTTGCCAAAGAAACTTGTAGATATTAAATCCTAGTTAGTTGGCACTATGGTTTAAACTCATTCTCTCTAAATTCTTTAAAATTTACTTTGTCCCTTTGGACCAATGGACCAATCCATGATGATTCAGATCGTAAATAATTAATTGTTTGGAGTTGTGTTTGGGAAATCATATGAATTTGAAACTTTACCTCCACTCCCAAACCCATTTTGTAGCCCAGAAAAAACCCCAAAGGCAGCCCAACAATGTAATAACAGAACAAGTTTATACAGGCAACTAGAGCTTGCCAGCCTCCACCAACAGCAACACCTGCAGGAAAGTAACATTCCAACAATCAATCCAAATCTTTAAGTTGATAAGTTCCCGGTAAATTTAATCTTTTATAAATACCTTAGCACTCCTCACTTGTGGGTTTGGAAATTTGCATAAACCCCAACAAGTGGTAATCAATATTAAATAGGGTGGAAATGATATTACAATGGTTCGAACCTAGGACATCTTGCTCCGATACCATGTTAAATCACCAATCAACCAAAAAACTTAAGTTGATGGGGTTAGGATAAATTTAATCACTTTTCTCTCATTGACATGGCAATAGGTGCATTTTGATGGATTTGTTTTTCACCTGATATTACTGGTTGGACACTATTGAGAAGCATTGTTGCCCCAAGAAGGAATGCCAAATGAGATACCGCTTGTTGCATCCGTTCGCTGTCTGTAAAGATGAGAGAAAAGTAGTCTTTAGTTGCCACCACAACTGTTGCGAAAAGAATGCCAATGAGGAGAGACTCTACAACGGTGACAACGACGCAATATTTTGCGGCTCGGGGATGTCCAGACCCGAGTTCGTTCGAGACCCTGACGCTGCAGATAGAGTAACATTAAACAGCATGGGAGTCCAAAAAGGTTCATTAATAGGTGCAGGGGTTAGCCTTACCAACAAAGGAATAGAAGCTTCTTACCTTATAGCTGCATTTATCCCAATGAACAACATGCCTACCCAGCCATTGACATTCATGCTGAAACAAGCATGTAAAATACTTTAAACCCAACAATAAAATATGCCTAGACCAGGTAAAAAAACAAAATATAAATTTTTTTTTTAGCACTGAGCGGCCGGTAAAGAATTCAGTTTGGACTAAATTACAAAACAACCTTTTTTTTATTTTAAATAGTCCTATCATTTCAAAAGTATTTTTCATAAACATTTTAGTAATATCTTCTAAGAAAACATTCGTTAATATTTCTTAATGGAAAGTTGATGCGGCAGAAATACAGTAATTACGATTTCTTCCATATTTGCTCCTTTTTCAAACTTAGTCCAGGTAATGTTTCTATGTTAATTATCACATCGTTCCTTAATTAATATTTGTTCAAAGGGGATTTTTCTAACAATGAAAAATCAAAGGTGGTATCGAAGCTTTGGAAAGGATAGAGGTATTTTTTAAACAAATGACAAAGTTGAATATTTTTTGTTTTTGTAATTTAACCATTTAGTTTTCATTGGTGTTTCTTAAGAGTCCAATAAAATAAAATAAAACGGTGTTATCTCCAACATGCGATTAGAAGAACCGATATACACAAAGATAATCTCATCCAGCTATAAAAGCACTCTATCACTACTTACTAAGGGTATTAAATTTCACCACTTAAACAAGTTTAAAACTTACCAGATTGCAAGAGAACCAACTGCAATGATGGGGTTGGCAAGATGGCCAGTGAGAACAATGATGGTCATAAAGTACCAAATCTCCAAGCAAAGCATGACAGCTGAAGCAATGGAGAGCTTCAAAAAGGCCCAAATGTCCTTAAAAGCCAGCCATGAGAGCCCCCTCCAACCATCTTTGCACCACCCAACCACGTAAGCCACCTGAGCCAAAGCAATGGCCCATGCTGAGATGTTGTAGGCTGCAGCAGCACCAGCAGTTCCCCAGCCTAGCAATTTGATGAACAGAAACAGAACCATTATGTGGAAGATCAGAGCTGCAAACCCGATCCACGCCAAGATCCCGACGTCGCTCTGCGCCTGCAGGAACTTCTGCGTCGGGAAGTTGATGGCGAGAGAGAACATCTGAGGGATGATTTGGACTGTGAATTCTCCGGCGAGCTCGGCGATTTCGGGTTGTTGGCCAAGCAGCTTGAGGATGGGCGTGGCCATGGTGTATAATGGCAACAGCAGGAGGCAGGCGGCAGATAGGATGATCCATGAGCGCTGCAGGTAAACGCCCAACATCTCTACTTGCCCTGCACCAACTGCCTGCCCGCATAGTGTCTCCAGTGCACTTCCCATGCCCAGCTGTGCAGGAACATAATGAGTTTGCCATTAAGAATACGTATGAATCAATATTGAACATCCCAAAAACTTAAATATAAGCTTTTGCATTTGGATTTAGGATGTCTTTGAGTCCCTACAACATTATAGAATATGTATAAAAGTCCTGGTTTAAATGCTATTTCGGTCTTCAATTGATTTTTTTTCCCCTTAGATGATATTTTAATTCTTATACTTCTAAAATGTTAATTTTGATTTATGTATTTCTACCTTTGTTTATTTTAGCCAGGGTAAGTATGATGTAGTTACTAATTAAATACTCATTTGTAAGATTTTGACAAAGTTTTATACCCATTAGAATTCATATAATACAAAATTTATAATTACATTTTAAAATTTTAGTTAATGAAATATTACGATGAAAAGAAATGATATAAAAAAATGAATAGATCAAAATAGTCAGTTTTTTTTAAAGTGCATACACGAAAATGGACATTTGATAGAAATTAAAGGTTTTGAAAGTATCAAAATGACTAAAAAAAAAGTCTCAAAATCAAAATGGTATTTGAAAAAAAAAACATGGTTTAAGTTGATTTTTAAAAGATTTATTTTAATCTATAAATTTAAAAAAATATTATTTTGGCCTTTACTCTTTAATATTCGTCCTTACCAACTTATGCACTATATCTTTGGAGTGTTGTCAAAGCGAGCATAGCTTAACGGTAATTGGTATACACCTCTAATCAAAAGATTGTTTTATTTTCTATTTTTAAAAATTAAGTTGATAAATAATATTTAACTATTTTATATGTTAATTTTATATTTTTTAAAATTAATTTTATAATCACTATTTTCATCTCTACATTCTTTTATCTTGTTGTAACATTTTTTAAAATATTTTTAAAAATTTAAACCAAATTTTGAAAAAGAAAAACCTAACTTCCAAAAATTAGTTTTTGTTTTTAAAGTTTGTTATAAATTTTTTTAAAATATTTTTAAAAATTTAAACCAAATTTTGAAAAAGAAAAACCTAACTTCCGAAATTTAGTTTTTATTTTTAAAGTTAGTTGAAATTTTAGTTAAAATTTCAAATATGTTTCGAAAAAAATAAGAAGAAAAAAAAAATATATATATATATACACTAACAAAAGTGTGTAAAAATAATCATAATTTTAAAAAACTAAAAACTAAACATAAAATCCTTATCAAATCGAGCCTAGTTTTCAAATTTTCGTTTTTTATTTTGCTAAAAAACAATGGAAAACCTACCAGAAATGGTGTGAAAGTAAACGTAATTTAAAAAATGAAAAACAAAAAAGAAACGGAGGGGGCCCTAAATTCCGAATCCCTAATTTAAAAATGAATGAAACTAACCAAGAAACCAAAGGAAAAGTTGGCGACGACTGACAGAGCAATAGCGATTGCAGAGAGCTGCAGGTTTCCAATATGGCCGACGAAGATATTGGTGAAGGAATTGATGCCATAGTTGCACAAGATATTGAATGCGATCGGAGCCGCGATTCTCCAGATCTTCTTCGACTCCAAGAAACAAACACGTTTCGCGTCCTGGAAATCTATCACGGCCGGATAATCGCCGTCGTCCGGTCCGAGCAAAGTCGTCGGCGCAGGGTACAGCTCATCGGTTTCAATGGCGGTGGTTTCTTCTTCACCGAGTAACAATGGCGACACGTATCTCGAATCGGCGGATTGCGGCAATGGCGACGAAGAAGAAGAAGATGGTGAGCTCATTATTATTGTCGATGAGTTTCTAGCTAAGATAAAAAAAAATGGCGGTTCCTGCAAAGCTTTTTTCCCCCTTTAGAACCCTAATTGATCCGATGCTTCTCAGGGTCGTCGTGGAATTGTGTGTTGCCATGCTAGAATTTAGGGTGACCAGTCGAAGAAAACTGTTAGAGAGAGAGAGTCTTCTTCAATTCAACGGAAGGGAAGCGAAGTTGGTCTCGCCGTCGACCATTGCAGAGAAACCAACGGAAGCAATGTAACATGATTTTCGTAATTTTGCTCTCTAATATTATTTTCTTATGAACTATAAATTTCGAACAAATATGCGATAATAAATACTTGTGTAATTTGGTAAGAAATGAAATGCCACTCAAGAAAAACAATATATAATTAAAATATTTGTGAACTCGATCTTGTCGTGTCATTTTAATAGAATGATCCCTTTAGTTGGAATATTTTTCAAATTTCAAAACCTATAATATCCGTTTTGAAACTCCAAGAATTTTCAAGACCTGATGGTATCACGATCATCTATCATGAAGTCTTATATTTTAATTTTTAAATGAGTTTAATATCAAAAGCTGTTACTATCTCTCAAGTCTCGAGTCCAAGCCTTAAAGTAGGTGCGAGAGTAGCGGTAATAAATTAAAAAGTTATTGATTATGGATTGTTTAAAAAAAAAATCAAATAAACACTGAATTAAAACTTGTGGACAAACCATTTTGCCATTTAAATTTTATATTTTATTTAAAAATAAATATTTATTTATACTATTTACTAATTACCTCTCTAGGCTCGCCCTATCCTAATTCTTTCATCTTTTTTTACCTTGATTACAATGACACATGAGTGAAATTTTGGAAAAATATATATATATAAGTATAAATATTTTAATTATCTTATTCATTGAATATTAAAAAACTATATTTTAATTAATACTCGAGCAGTAAATTTTTAATACATTAACTCACTTGACATATTATTAATAATATATTCTATAAAATCGTTAAAGTTTGAATATAATATGGAAAATACTTGCCTCTTCAACAATACGGAGAAACTTTGTCATTCTCGCTATTAAATGTTTGATAACTAAGACAGAGAAATGCAAAAACAAAAACTTTTTTTAAAATAATAATGAGTTGTCATTTTCCATATAGTATTTATTTACGAACATGAGTATGCTAAAAGGTAATTGACATGTACTTTTTCATAAAAAAAAGAGAGAGAGAGGTGACATGTACTATACTCTTCTGTTTAGGTTAAAAGTTCAAATATTCGTCCACATTTGTTTTACTAAAAAATATATATAAATACATACAATGTCTATGGAATATTTTATATTTTAAAAACATTAATTTCAATCTTGACAAAATACATATATCAGTATTAAAAAAGATAACAAATCACAACGAAATAACTTCTTCTTTTTTTTTTTTTTTTTTGAACAGGCAACAAAATAACTCGACCAAATTATTATTAAATTTATTAATATATTTAAATTTATGACATGTTCCTTTTACACTATCCAAAAAACTGCAGAAGGTTGGAGACATCAGAGTTGGAGATAAGATGTTTGAAACATTTACAAGCAAGATTTTCAAAGCCTAAAAAGAGAGGGAGATATCTTTAATACTACATTTTTTTAGCCTATAACCAGGAGGAGTTCTTCAGAAATTGATGATCAAAGATTGGAAAAATAATGAATATGCATGAACATCTAACAACATGAGGAAGCAATGTTGTACGAGAGCATTATTTCTTTCCCAATCATCTGACTACAACAATTTACATCTCGAATTTGCAACTATGAAACGAAACGACCGACGTATCTACAGCCAAGATTTTGAAAATGAACTTGTAATTGAACAAGGAAAAGCACTTCCCACCAGTGGTGAACAGAGCTCAAGCTTGATTTCAAGGACCAGAGAAGTTTCTCATTTCTGCAGACTCAAGATAGCTCAAATATCATCTCCTACATCAATAAAAGAGCAGAAATTTATCAGTTCTGCAAGTATGAATCTTCATCTATGGCAATGTAAATAACAAATTGTGCTGCTTCACACTGGAGCAACCAGCATTAGATGAAGGCTGTATGCTGTTAATGAGCAAGAATATGCTGTTTTCTACAGTCATTCTGGTTAACAGAGAATAGAGATCCAAATTCGAATGTGATCGTCATATGCGTAACTTGTTAGAACAAACCTCGTCGCAGATAGGACAGGCATCACTTCTTTCAGTCCACTCGAGAAGGCAAGCCAGGTGAAAGTGGTGCTTGCATTTTGTAATACTTTCTGGATGTTCTGAATCATACTCTACAATAGGAGATATAATGTTAGACGTGATATATGGATTCAATTTGAGTTTTACAAGAACTAGCAAGTGGAAAAGAAAATGATGCAAAAGGGTATTAGTTGCTTGAGAAGCTGATTCAAATTCAGCTCACCTTCGAGACAAATGGGACAGGCATCCTCTTCTTCAGCGACCAGAGTCGGAGTATTATTGCCCTTCAACTTAGAATGTTCCAGTTTCCGTGGAGGGCCTCCAAGCAAAGGGCTGTCTTGGGACTTGTTGTCTGGTTCCCCAACAATTTTCGCCGCTGGTGAAGTTTTAAAGCTACATCCACAGATTGTTTCTTTAATAGAGTTAAAATCTTTCGACTGTGGACATCTGAAAACCATGTCATACGGGAGAGGTGTGGGAGGGGCTCGATAAGTGTTCGGTATCGATAGATCCAGGTCCGAATCATGTCCTGCATTAAGGAGCATGGAGGCTGAGCCACTACGAATTTCGGATGACTCGCGCTCCTCCATAGCCAGTGGGCACTGCAGAAAGGAGTGAAGGAAACTTGGTATTTGCAAAGAGAACAAGGATAATAATGAGACATGATCATGTGGAAAAGGCAAATAAACTAACATAGTAATATACTGGAGTTCCATTCACATGCGATTTTCGAGTTGAACAGCAGCAGCCTCCCATTATTTGATGATTTCTCTGATCCTATCAGCAGCTGTTAGAACATGGTTTCCTGTTATCTGGAATTATGTTATACATTAGACTTCGAGAATGGACAAAACTAGAGACAAGGAAGCCAGTCTAGAACTTAAAGATCAAGGAGCAAAATTCTGTTTCACGGTTTCACCAATGTGGAAACCGAATCAACATATTCATATTCTAAGACTGAAGGACCGAAAATGACTAGTGTTCCTCTAACATGATCATGATAATGGCTTCCAAAATTTCTGGTTAATGAACTAGCTCAAAATAGAGGTATCACAAAATGGTTTGTCCAGAA